ACACACACACACACACACACACACACACACTCATATACACTCACACTCACACACACACACACACACACACACTCAATGACGAGGCCATTGTTTATGATTCCGCGATCACACATACTGACGGATGATCAACACTCATGAATAACACATCACATGATCTCACTCACGTCACTCTGCTGTTTGGACACTTCTTTAGCGAACACCGTCTCAATGGTCTGTGGCATCTGAGTGTACAGACACACCTGAGCGTCCAGAGAGTCTCTATAGCTCTTCTGCACAGAACAGAAAACAGCAGCTTCAGCACAGCACTGACTCACAGAACTGATTCAGAGAACTGATTCAGAGTACTGATTCAGAGTACTGATTCAGAGCACTGATTCAGAGTACTTGATTCAGAGAACTGATTCAGAGAACTGATTCAGAGAACTGATTCAGAGTACTTGATTCCGAGTACTGTTTCAGAGAACTGATTCAGAGTACTGATTGAAACACTATCAAACACTATGAGTGAGTGTGAGTGTGTGTGTGTGTGTGTGTGTGTGTGTGTAAGTGTACCTGACTGTAGAGTTGTTTCAGCTCTCGGGCGTGTTGTGTTTCACTGGTTTCGGGCAGATGGGCATACAGGCACTTCTGCAGCTCCTTCTTTCCATCCTCCTTATATTTATTCTACATTCACACATCATTTACATATCATTAATATTCAAGTAGCTCATTAAAACACCTTTGGACAGCACTAGGTCACTGTTCAACTCTAACGTGAGGCTTTAAAAGCCCGTTCACACCAAGAATGATAACTATAACTATCACTTTTTAATAAATTATAGTTATCATTACAGTTATCTTCATAGTTTTTGCAAGCCAGAAGCAGAAGAATATGAGAATCCCTGATGATCACCTCACTGATGAGCGGCGTCAGCTCCTTCACAAACTGTGTGTGCAGCGTCTCGGGCAGCTGAGAGTACAGACAGTGAGACAGATCCTCCTGCGTCTCTCTCCGGTACTGATTCTACAACACACACGAACATCACACCATCAACATCACACACACACACACACACACACACACACACACACACACACACACATACACACATACACACAGACAGAGTCTCACACACACACACACACACACACACAGGGGTGTGGGAACATGTTTTAGGTTGGGGGTGCTGTACGCGCGGGGGCTATTTACACTTAGTGAAAATAGCAGTATTTTTTTAGTGATATATGCTATTTACATTAAGTGCAAATAGCTATAGATTCTATTTATGTCATTTAATCTATTTATATAATCTATACTATGTTAAAATAGCAGGATATTCTGCTAATTACTTATTGCAAGTGGCAATTATCTGCACCTCAGCATTGTAATACATTATAAAACAGAATGCAATAATTTATACATTATTGAGTGTAAATTTTAATTATAATTCAAATGATTGAATGGATGCCACCTTATTGGGACAAAAGCCCTCCCTACACCTACCCTAATCCTACCTGATACTTTATTTTCAACTTTTTGATTATTTCCTTCATTTTCATTAAAAATAAATGCTTTTCTGATGTGATCTGAAATTTGAAAAGGGAGAAAAAAAGTTCACCAAAAGGCAGATTCGAACCCGGGTCGATCGCGTCAAAAGTAGTAGGCTATGACACACGCTTTATCATCTACGCCACTGAATCTGATGATTAATGACCGTCTTTTGTAATGTTACCAAGCCCAATCAAACGTTGGTAGGTGGAATCAGTGTTTGAATGGATGCCACCTTATTGGGACAAAAGCCCTCCCTACACCTACCCTAATCCTAATCCTCTGATACTTTATTTTCAACTTTTTGATTATTTCCTTCATTTTCATAAAAAATAAATGCTTTTCTGATGTGATCTGAAATTTGAAAAGGGAGAAAAAAAGTTCACCAAAAGGCAGATTCGAACCCGGGTCGATCGCGTCAAAAGTAGTAGGCTATGACACACGCTTTATCATCTACGCCACTGAATCTGATGATTAATGACCGTCTTTTGTAATGTTGCCAAGCCCAATCAAACGTTGGTAGGTGGAATCAGTGTAAATAGCCTCTGCCAACAAGATTTTTTTTTTATTATTCCCAACAGTTAAACAGTTGCCCACATAAAAAAACAGGGGGTGCTGCAGCACCCTCATCACCCCCACTCCCCGCCTATGCACACACATCAACCACAAACACACAGAGTCTCACACACACACACACACACACACGTACATCACTCTGAAGCTCCGCCATCTGTTTGGCAAACTGTGTTTCCTGTGTTTGCGGCATCTGAGAGTAAATACTGCTGCTGTTCTCCTGTTTACCGCTCCGCTTGTACTTATTCTGAGAGGAAACAATCAGAGTCAACATATGAGACGATTCACTGAGTGAAGATATGAAACGATTTAGTGAGCCAAAATATGAAACAATTCAATAAGTGAAGATATGAAACAATTTACTGAGTCAGAATGTGAAATGATTCTAGATTTGAAATTATTTGCTCAGTCAGAAAATTAAAGGTTTCACTCAGAATTTGAAATGATTTGGTCAGAACATGAGTGGATGGGATGTGACACACACACACACACACCTTGCTCAGGAGTTCAGAGATGTTTTTGGCGTGCTGAGTCTCAGTCGTCTCTGGCAGAAGAGCGTACAGACTGGCAGAAGCCTCTTTCTTCGCCTCCTCCTTGTATTTCGTCTGAAATCAAAGCAAATGTTAATTTCCATGCGTGTTTATCCTGACACATGTGTCCCGTGGCTCATATAACAGCGGTTCTTTCACCTGACTCAGGAGGTCCGTGGCGTCTTTGGCGTGTTGAGTCTCCAGAGTCTCCGGCAGCAGTGAATACAGAGCGCCTGACGCCTGCTTCCTTCCTGCCTCTTTATATTTACTCTGAAAGCACACAAACACACAGTCACTCATGGGTACTCCGGTTTCACTCCACATCTGATGGGTTAATGTTCTCATAATGCACTCGACGAACATGTGAATGGCCTCTCTAAGGGCTGTGAATCATTTTAATTAAATTAAATACATAAGACTCAAATGAATCACAATGACATACAGTGTCTTTAGGTTTACATTATCTAGAAACATGAACACACTGTGAGTGGGTGAGTGAGTGAGTGTGTGTGTGTGAGAGTGAGAGTGTGTGTGTGTGTGAGTGAGACTGTGTGTGTGTGTGAGTGAGACTGTGTGTGTGTGTGAGTGAGACTGTGTGTGTGTGTGAGTGAGACTGTGTGTGTGTGTGAGTGAGACTGTGTGTGTGTGTGAGTGAGACTGTGTGTGTGTGTGAGTGAGACTGTGTGTGTGTGTGAGTGAGACTGTGTGTGTGTGTGAGTGAGACTGTGTGTGTGTGTGAGTGAGACTGTGTGTGTGTGTGAGTGAGACTGTGTGTGTGTGTGAGTGAGACTGTGTGTGTGTGTGAGTGAGACTGTGTGTGTGTGTGAGTGAGACTGTGTGTGTGTGTGAGTGAGACTGTGTGTGTGTGTGAGTGAGACTGTGTGTGTGTGTGAGTGAGACTGTGTGTGTGTGTGAGTGAGACTGTGTGTGTGTGTGAGTGAGACTGTGTGTGTGTGTGAGTGAGACTGTGTGTGTGTGTGAGTGAGACTGTGTGTGTGTGTGAGTGAGACTGTGTGTGTGTGTGAGTGAGACTGTGTGTGTGTGTGAGTGAGACTGTGTGTGTGTGTGAGTGAGACTGTGTGTGTGTGTGAGTGAGACTGTGTGTGTGTGTGAGTGAGACTGTGTGTGTGTGTGAGTGAGACTGTGTGTGTGTGTGAGTGAGACTGTGTGTGTGTGTGAGTGAGACTGTGTGTGTGTGTGAGTGAGACTGTGTGTGTGTGTGAGTGAGACTGTGTGTGTGTGTGAGTGAGACTGTGTGTGTGTGTGAGTGAGACTGTGTGTGTGTGTGAGTGAGACTGTGTGTGTGTGTGAGTGAGACTGTGTGTGTGTGTGAGTGAGACTGTGTGTGTGTGTGAGTGAGACTGTGTGTGTGTGTGAGTGAGACTGTGTGTGTGTGTGAGTGAGACTGTGTGTGTGTGTGAGTGAGACTGTGTGTGTGTGTGAGTGAGACTGTGTGTGTGTGTGAGTGAGACTGTGTGTGTGTGTGAGTGAGACTGTGTGTGTGTGTGAGTGAGACTGTGTGTGTGTGTGAGTGAGACTGTGTGTGTGTGTGAGTGAGACTGTGTGTGTGTGTGAGTGAGACTGTGTGTGTGTGTGAGTGAGACTGTGTGTGTGTGTGAGTGAGACTGTGTGTGTGTGTGAGTGAGACTGTGTGTGTGTGTGAGTGAGACTGTGTGTGTGTGTGAGTGAGACTGTGTGTGTGTGTGAGTGAGACTGTGTGTGTGTGTGAGTGAGACTGTGTGTGTGTGTGAGTGAGACTGTGTGTGTGTGTGAGTGAGACTGTGTGTGTGTGTGAGTGAGACTGTGTGTGTGTGTGAGTGAGACTGTGTGTGTGTGTGAGTGAGACTGTGTGTGTGTGTGAGTGAGACTGTGTGTGTGTGTGAGTGAGACTGTGTGTGTGTGTGAGTGAGACTGTGTGTGTGTGTGAGTGAGACTGTGTGTGTGTGTGAGTGAGACTGTGTGTGTGTGTGAGTGAGACTGTGTGTGTGTGTGAGTGAGACTGTGTGTGTGTGTGAGTGAGACTGTGTGTGTGTGTGAGTGAGACTGTGTGTGTGTGTGAGTGAGACTGTGTGTGTGTGTGAGTGAGACTGTGTGTGTGTGTGAGTGAGACTGTGTGTGTGTGTGAGTGAGACTGTGTGTGTGTGTGAGTGAGACTGTGTGTGTGTGTGAGTGAGACTGTGTGTGTGTGTGAGTGAGACTGTGTGTGTGTGTGAGTGAGACTGTGTGTGTGTGTGAGTGAGACTGTGTGTGTGTGTGAGTGAGACTGTGTGTGTGTGTGAGTGAGACTGTGTGTGTGTGTGAGTGAGACTGTGTGTGTGTGTGAGTGAGACTGTGTGTGTGTGTGAGTGAGACTGTGTGTGTGTGTGAGTGAGACTGTGTGTGTGTGTGAGTGAGACTGTGTGTGTGTGTGAGTGAGACTGTGTGTGTGTGTGAGTGAGACTGTGTGTGTGTGTGAGTGAGACTGTGTGTGTGTGTGAGTGAGACTGTGTGTGTGTGTGAGTGAGACTGTGTGTGTGTGTGAGTGAGACTGTGTGTGTGTGTGAGTGAGACTGTGTGTGTGTGTGAGTGAGACTGTGTGTGTGTGTGAGTGAGACTGTGTGTGTGTGTGAGTGAGACTGTGTGTGTGTGTGAGTGAGACTGTGTGTGTGTGTGAGTGAGACTGTGTGTGTGTGTGAGTGAGACTGTGTGTGTGTGTGAGTGAGACTGTGTGTGTGTGTGAGTGAGACTGTGTGTGTGTGTGAGTGAGACTGTGTGTGTGTGTGAGTGAGACTGTGTGTGTGTGTGAGTGAGACTGTGTGTGTGTGTGAGTGAGACTGTGTGTGTGTGTGAGTGAGACTGTGTGTGTGTGTGAGTGAGACTGTGTGTGTGTGTGAGTGAGACTGTGTGTGTGTGTGAGTGAGACTGTGTGTGTGTGTGAGTGAGACTGTGTGTGTGTGTGAGTGAGACTGTGTGTGTGTGTGAGTGAGACTGTGTGTGTGTGTGAGTGAGACTGTGTGTGTGTGTGAGTGTTTTGATTCATGTGAGTCATTTGCTCACGTCGCTCTGCAGTTCGGTCACTGTTCGGACAAACTGTGTCTCTGGAGTCTCGTGCAGCTGAGAATACAGGCAGCTGGAGACGCTCCTCCTGCCGTCCTCTCTGTATTTATTCTGGAAAACAGATTCCCGCATGCGTTTACTGAGACTGACTGTACTGATCATGATGATTGAGTGATCGTGTGTGTCGTTACATTGCTCTGCAGCTCCGAGACTCTGGCAGCGAGCTGAGTCTGCGGCGTCTGTGGCAGCTGAGAGTAAACACTGCACGACTGCAGCTTCTTCCCTTCTTTATATCTGACCTGTGGAGGAGAAACAGACGCTGAGCGACTGAATCTGCTCTGAATCTGAAGCACATGCAGACGCTGGGACGCACCTCGCTCTGGATCTGTGTGGCGTCTCTGGCGTGTTGCGTGTCTCTGGTTTCTGGGAGCGTGTGATACAGAGACGTGCTGCTCTCCTTCTTACCAGACTCTCTGTATTTGCTCTGAAACATCAATATGTGACTGATTTAACCGCACTGACACTATCAGATGAGAACATTAACACTTATCTTCCTGTTTATTACTGTGAAGCTGCTTTGACGATCTGTATTGTAAAAAGCGCTGTATAAATAAATGTGACTGATGAATCATTTCGGGATGATCAAACATCATCATGTGTTTGTGTTGAATATTGTTCTCTGCACTAAAGCACAGATTGTCCGAGCGAACGGTGAGTCACGAGTGGAGCTCTGGGACGAGCGGCTAACTATAGCCACACTTATCAGCTCAGAGATACAGCAGCGTTTGAGACGCGGCCCACAGAATAAAGCTACTGACACAACAGTATGGACACTTTAATTTGAAGATGCATCTTTTTCTGTGTTTTTGTCCAGTGAAAACAGTTTTGATGACGCTCTCCCAAGTGAATACATTTTAAAATGCCGTTTTCATGTTTTAATTGTGAAAATGGGGTTCATTTTAAAACATTGATGCATGTTTAATCATATAATGCAGCCATGCAATCAACTTAACCTGAAACAAACAAGATGTCGTTATGCCTACTATCCACTTTCAAAGTGTTGTAATATGAAGACTGTACAAAATATTCTTGACATCTCCACAAAGATGACAGAAAATGTGCTTGTAATTGCTCTCCGATTGTGTTTTATACCCAACACAGAATCTGGACACCAGCGTGTGGTGGGATACTGTTTTGTCTGTTCTCTCAGTGAGCTTCTGTGTGGATTTATGAGAGCACTGTGAGGCGATTTAAGAGTCTGCAGATGTTTCAGTGTGTGGACGAGCAACGCCTGAAAACACGGGTTTGGATGGAGAGCGTTTTCAGATGTGTCTGGATGAATGTGGACGGATGATCACCTCACTGATGAGCGGCGTCAGCTCCTTCACAAACTGTGTGTGAAGCGTCTCGGGCAGCTGAGAGTACAGACAGTGAGACAGATCCTCCTGCGTCTCTCTCCGGTACTGATTCTACAACACACACGAACATCACACCATCAACATCACACACACACACACATACACACAGATAGAGTCACACACACACACACACACACATACACACAGACAGAGTCTCACACACACACACACACACACAGGGGTGTGGGAACATGTTTTTGGTTGGGGGTGCTGTACGCGCGGGGGCTATTTACACTAACAGTATTTTTTTAGTGATATATGCTATTTACATTAAGTGCAAATAGCTATAGATTCTATTTATGTCATTTAATCTATTTATATAATCTATACTATGTTAAAATAGCAGGATATTCTGCTAATTACTTATTGCAAATAGTGGCAATTATCTGCACCTCAGCATTGTAATACATTATAAAACAGTTACAGTAAAAATTTTTTACAATTAATTTGATTTAAATTAATTCTTATTTTACACTACAACAGGATTACTAGAATACATTATTTATTTTGTTTAATATTTTATTTTGTTTAATAATTTCTTATTTATTTTTTAGTCATACTGAACTGTTCAAAAACAGTATAAATGTGGCCTATGAAAACTCAAGTGGAAAGAAATATAAAAACTGTTTACTTTATAGTTACTGAAACAGGTATGATTTACTATCAACACCTACATTTTTCTCAAACCGTTCAGCCCTAAGAATGATTTACATTTAAATTCTAAAAATAATTTTGTTTTACATAAAGATGCACTCTAACAAAATCACCCACACACTCTAGAACGATTGTTTGTTTGTTTTTAAATGGAGCTTTTCAAGTCTTCTGGTCAAACTGTATTTTTTCATATCACAATATACAGAGCAGAAAAAAATAGTGCAATAACGTGCAGCTCTAGCTCAGAATCACACCTGACAAAAACGACTGGAAATGAGCAAATGAACACGATTAACGACTGCTAATCAGTGAACGCAGTGACGTTTACCTGGCTCTGGAGTTCACTCTGCTGTTTGGCGAACTGCGTCGCCGGCGTCTCGGGCAGATGTGAGTACAGACAGGACGACACGTCTCTCTTCCCCTCCTCTTTATATCTGACCTGCAGAGTTAAAATAACCTCCTGATAACCCACTGACCCACACACCCCGCTAACTGACCGCTCACGTGACCACAGGAACCATGTTAACCCTTCAGATGCTGTGTGAGCCGTACCTCGCTGCAGACGTCTGTCAGCTCTCTGGCCAGTCGAGTCTCTGGCGTCTCTGGCAGACGCGAGTAAAGAGACGAGGAGTTCACCTTCTCTTTATACTTCACCTGAAACCACAGACAGACAGTTCACTAACTCGACCATCACTAGTACTACAGCCCACGCTGATCACAGCTGCAGCACTGAGTGACATGAATGATTCCTCACATCATGTGTGCTGTTGAGGAGAGTGTGCTGATGCTTTACTGATCAGACGCATAGTTAAACTGATGATGATGATGAAGAAGCAGTTACCTCGCTCTGGATGTGAGCGGCGTCTCGAGCGTGTTGAGTCTCTGGAGTCTCTGGGAGCTGATGGTACAGAGATCTGCTCATCTGCTGCTTACTGGCCTCCTTATACTTCACCTGAGCACACACACACACATCAGATCAGATTGTATGTGACGTCACTATCAGCACACGTGTGTGTGTGGCGTGTGCATCCTCACGTCGCTCTGGAGTTCAGTCACTGTCTTCATGAACTGCGTCTCTGGAGTCTCTGCCATCTGAGAATAAACACTGGAGCTCATGAGCTTCTGTCCTTCAGTCTTGTACTGAACCTGAAACACATCAGCACACGTTCATAGTCACCATACTAATCAACACTGACCAGCATCTCATTGGCAGATATTTGTTCTTGTTTTAACCCTATAAAGATATCATTATTGTATCATATTTGATGCAATAATCAAAACTTTGCTGTTAATCATGTCACACTCAATCTCCTCATGTCTTCTGTCGTCTGATTGAGAGTTTAGAGTGTTTTATTCAGTAAAAGCTCTTTTAGTGTAACTGTACAAACGTCTAGCTTCAGCTGGAGCTTCACGTGTGTTTTTCTGTCAAATCTGTACTAATTTTTATCAAGTAAATGTAATATTTACTATTACTATTAATATCATAACTGCAGTAATATCTCCAGATGAACACTTACTGCACTGAAGCAGCTCAGCTTTACTTGATTCTCCATCAATCATGTTTTAGAGTCTCAAATCTGATCCTCAGGATCTTTTGAGGAGCGTTTGTTTCCAGAAGCTTTACTTTCACTGTTCCTCAGCGGAGGAATGATCTTCACAAGCCTCCAGAACATCTCACATCTTCTGAGGAGCCTTTATTTCTTCAGCTCTCAATCAGCATTGGATTGCATCACATTATATGTTTGGATCATTTCAATCTCATCTTACTAAGACATGTTATTGGAGATATAGAGCGACCACTGATATTTAGATCATTTTATGCAAGTATCTGCTACACTGTTATAAAGATATGAGTTTTCATCACTTTTTGTTCAAGTGTTTTATTCAGTAAAAGCTCTTTTAGTGTAACAACGTGTACAAACGTCTAGCTTCAGCTGGAGCTTCACGTGTGTTTTTCTGTCAAATCTGTACTGATTTTTATCAAGTAAACGTAATATTTACTAATACTATTAATATTATAACGTCAGTAATATCTCCAGATGAACACTTACTGCACTGAAGCAGCTCAGCTTTACTTGATTCTCCATCAATCATGTTTTAGAGTCTCAAATCTGATCCTCAGGATCTTTTGAGGAGCGTTTGTTTCCAGAAGCTTTACTTTCACTGTTCCTCAGCGGAGGAATGATCTTCACAAGCCTCCAGAACATCTCACATCTTCATTTCTTCAGCTCTCAATCACTGCATTATATGTTTGGAGCATTTCAGTCTCATCGTATTATTACTGGAGATATAGAGCGTCCACTGATATTTATAGCATTTTATGTCAGTATCTGCTCTACTGTTATAAAGATCTCACTGATTTGCATTACAAGCATCAGAATATCATCATATAAATATCAGCATCTGCAGCAAATTGCATATTTTTGCTCAGTTTGAGTTTCTGAATAAAAGCTGTCTACGGTCTGCACTAGAGACATACAGGTATGTTCAGGTGTGTTCAGGTGTGCTCAGGTATGTCCAGGTATGTTCAGTTGTGTTCATGTGTGTTCAGGCGTGTTCAGGCGTGTTCAGATTTGTTCAAGTGTGTTCAGGCGTGTTCAGGCGTGATCAGGCGTGTTCAGGTATGTTCATGTGTGTTTAGGTGTGTTCAGGTATGTTCAGGTGTGTTCATGTGTGTTCAGGTGTGTTCATGTGTGTTCAGGTATGTTCAGGTATGTTCATGTGTGCGCAGGTGTGTTCAGGTATGTTCATGTGTGTGCAGGTGTGTTCAGGTATGTCCAGGTATGTTCAGTTGTGTTCATGTGTGTTCAGGTATGTCCAGGCGGCATTACAAGCATCAGAATATCATCATATAAATATCAGCATTTGCAGCAAATTGCATATTTTTGCTCAGTTTGAGTCTCTGAATAAAAGCTGTATACGGTCTGCACTAGAGACATACAGGTATGTTCACGTGTGTTCAGGTATGTTCAGGTATGTTCAGGTGTGTTCAGGTATGTTCACGTGTGTTCAGGTATGTTCAGGTATGTCCAGGCGTGTCCATGCGTGTTCAGGCGTGTCCAGGCGTGTCCATGTGTGTTCATGCGTGTTCAGGCGTGTCCATGTGTGTTCATGCGTGTTCAGGTGTGTCCATGTGTGTTCAGGTGTGTTCATGCGTGTTCAGGTGTGTCCATGTGTGTTCAGGTGTGTTCACTTGTGTTCAGGTGTGTTCAGATGTGTTCATGCGTGTTCAGGTGTGTTCATGCGTGTTCAGGTGTGTTCATGCGTGTTCAGGTGTGTTCAGATGTGTTCATGCGTGTTCAGGTGTGTTCATGTGTGTTTAGGTGTGTTCAGGTATGTTCATGTGTGTTTAGGTGTGTTCAGGTATGTTCATGTGTGTTCAGGTGTGTTCAGGTATGTTCATGTGTGTTCAGGTATGTTCATGTGTGTTCATGTGTGTTTAGGTGTGTTCAGGTATGTTCATGTGTGTGCAGATGTGTTCAGGTATGTTCAGGTGTGTTCATGTGTGTTCAGATGTGTTCATGCGTGTTCAGGTGTGTTCAGATGTGTTCATGCGTGTTCAGGTGTGTTCATGTGTGTTCAGATGTGTTCATGCGTGTTCAGGTGTGTGCAGGTGTGTTCAGGTATGTTCAGGTATGTTCAGGTATGTTCATGTGTGTTCAGGTGTGTGCAGGTGTGTGCAGGTATGTTCATGTGTGTTCATGTCTGTTCAGGTATGTTCATGCGTGTTCACTTGTGTTCATGTGTGTTCAGGTGTGTTCATGCGTGTTCAGGTATGTTCATGTGTGTTCAGGTAAGTTCATGTGTGTTCACGTATGTTCAGGTGTGTTCATGTGTGTTCACGTATGTTCAGGTGTGTTCATGTGTGTTCACGTATGTTCATGTGTGTTTAGGTGTGTTCATGTGTGTTCAGGTAAGTTCATGTGTGTTTACGTGTGTTCAGGTAGGTTCATGTGTGTTCAGGTATGTTCATGTGTGTTCACATATGTTCAGGTGTGTTCATGTATGTTCAGGTATGTTCATGTGTGTTCAGGTAGGTTCATGTGTGTTCAGGTATGTTCATGTGTGTTCAGGTATGTTCATGTGTGTGCAGGTGTGTTCAGGTATGTTCATGTGTGTTCAGGTAAGTTCATGTGTGTTTACGTAGGTTCATGTGTGTCCAGGTGTGTTCATGTGCGTTACCTGACTCTGCAGTGCAGTGAGATCTCGGAGCCGCTGGATCTCTGCGGTGTCGCTCATCTGCGAGTACAGCGGTGAGGACAGATCCTTCTTCACGGCCTCTTTATACTTCAGCTGAAGGAAACACACCTGCGGTCAGTGTGATGCTCATGAGTGCGTGTGAATCTGCTGTCAGTGCCGTACATACCTCACTGCACAGCTCTCCAGCGTGTTTGGCGTGTTCCGTGTTCTGAGTCTCGGGCAGACAGGCATAAAGAGATGCATCTGTTTTGTTCTTCTCTTTATATTTAACCTACATACACAGTCATGTGTAAATACACACGCTTCCTCATCACACATGCTGAGCTCCTGTCATTCACAAACTGTGTCTGTCCGTGATGCGACGCAAACGCAGGTGTTTCAGTCAGAGATTCCCAAATGTTTTTCATCAACCGAACCACTCTGAGCTCAAAAATTTACTTGTAGTCTCCCTGGGATTTTAGGTTATTAATTCAGTAATTTTACAACACAATCTCATGTTCACGGTTCTCTGATGTCGATTAATGCGCACATGAAATGCAACTAAACTAATAAAATATTTAGTCTTTTTTACTAAGAGTTTTATTTTGATTGCTTTTTTTGTTTTTAAGTTTACATTTATAAAGCGGAGAGTTCCGGTGCTTGACTCTGATTGGCTGAGCTGCGTTCGAAGCTGTTGTAAATGACGCTACAAAGTAACACACACCTTTGTTTACGTCTGTAAACCACAGCTTCACGGGGCTTATTGCTTTAGTCTATCATTTTATATTTTGATTGCTTTTATTGTAAAATAACTGACTCTAATAGTACATGTTCGCTCACCTCGCTCTGCAGGTCAGACACTGATTTGATGAACTGTGTCTCTGGAGTGTCGGGCAGCTGAGAGTAAACGCTGGATGAGAGGCTCCTCTGGCCCTTCTCACGGTACTCTTTCTGAAACACACATGGAGATGGAGTCACGCGTGACGCATGTCACATCAGCATCATGAATGAAATGAGCCACACCTCACTGAGCACGTGCGAGATCTGCTGAATGAACTTCATCTCTGCCGAGTCTGGAACCGCAGTGAAGGAGGAACCCGAGAAATCGCCCTTCCTGATGCCTTTATAGGCCACCTGAGTGCAGATGATCAGATGAAGGTCAGGCGCTGCGGTCAGACGCGTGTGAGGAGGCGTGACGCGGGCGTGTGCAGCGTTACCTCGCTCTGGATGTGAGCGGCGTCTCGAGCGTGTTGAGTCTCTGGAGTCTCTGGGAGCTGATGGTACAGAGATCTGCTCATCTGCTGCTTACTGGCCTCCTTATACTTCACCTGAGGTCAACATGATTCACAATCCAGACATCTGAATGATCTGAGCTCAGAGATGGTTGCTAGGGTGTTCGGGATGGTTGCTAGGGCTAGGTAAGTGGTTGCTATGGTGTTGTTAAGGGGTTGCTATGGTGATCAGGGAGAGAGTGACTGATATATTGTTGCTCTGACGAGCCTCAGTGAGTTCACACGCGTGTGTGTCGTACGTCACTCTGTAACTCCGCGGCGTGTTTGGCGTACTGCGTGTCCAGCGTCTCGGGCATGAGCGAGTACAGATTACTGGAGTTTTCCTTCACGTCAGCTTTATACTTCAGCTGAAACACACAAACACACGTGAAGAGGAAAACACTTAACATGAAGTCACAAAACATAAAGAAGATTCCAGATCAGTGCTTCTCAAACTAGGGGCAGTCGGATGACATACAATTATTTATATATATATATATATATATGTGTGTGACCCTGGAGCACAAAACCAGTCATAAGGGTCAATTTTGTGAAATTGAGATGTATGCATCATCTGGAAGCTGAATAAATAGCTTTCCATTGATGTATGGTTTGTTAGGATCAGACAATATTTGAAAATCTGGAATCTGAGGGTGCAAAAAAATCTAAATATTGAGAAAATCATCTTTAAAGTTGTTCAAATGAAGTTCTTAGCAATGCATATTACTAATCAAACATTAAGTTTTGATATATTTACGGTAGGAGATGTACTAAATATCTTCATGGAACATGATCGTTACTTAATATCCTAATGATTTTTGACATAAAAATCTATAATTTTTATTTAAAAATTTGGGTTTTTCCCTCAGAATTAAGGTGATTTTTCTGACCCCACAGGTGGATATTTATTTTAAGCCTAAACTCACTTCATTTTGATCAGTTTCTCAGAAAAGAAGACTAATTTAGCTTCTCGTGGTTTAGGAATGTTCAGATATTGTACTGGAATAGACAGACATGTTCACCTCACTCCGGAGCTCCATCTGCTGCTTCACAAACTCGTTCTGCGGCGTCTCTGTCATCAGCGAGAACAAACTACTGCCCATCACAGACGCCCGGCCCTGCCTGTACTTCAGCTGATCACACAACACACACACACACTCACATTCTCGGTCAACACACACTGGAAGAGATGCGTTCTGCAGAACAGGAGCGTGTCAGTGTTACCTCGCTCTGGATGTGAGCGGCGTCTCGAGCGTGTTGAGTCTCTGGAGTCTCTGAGAGCTGATGGTACAGAGATCTGCTCATCTGCTGCTTACTGGCCTCCTTATACTTCACCTGAGCACACTGATTATTATCAGTGTTGAACACAGTCGTGCTGCTGAATGTTTTTGTGGAAACTGTTCTTTTGAACAGAAAGTTCAAAAGAACAGCATTTATTTGAAAGAGAAATCTACTGTAACATTATAAATGTCTTTACTGTCACTTTTGATAAATTCAAAGCATCCTCGATGAATAAAAGTGTTAATTCCTGTATTTTTGCACCTGGCTCTGCAGCTGGTGCGCTTCTTTAGCGTGTTGAGTCTCCAGGGTTTCAGGCAGTTGTGAGTACAGACATGTGGAAGCGTTTTTTCTGCCAGCTTCTTTGTATTTATTCTGTCAGACAATGAGAGCAGGTGTAAGAGCGCGGTCACATGACATCGGACAGGTGAACATGAGTGATGCGTGTGCGTTACGTCGCTCTGCAGATCCGTCATGCGTTTGGCGTGTTGCGTGTCAGTCGTGTCGGGCAGCTGAGAGTACAGACTACACGACAGCTTCTTCCTCCCATCCTCTTTATATCTGACCTGAAACATCACCACCATCATCATCATGTGACTGGCATGTGTGTCTGAGCGTGTGTGTGTGTGTGTGTGTGTGTGTGTGTGGTATTTCCTCTTGGATTCAGAGCACAGTTTGGCAGCGTTTGGTTGGTCTGTTGTCTGTGACGGCGCCTGTGTGTAGTGTTATCTGAGTTTGAGCACCCTGTGTTAAATACAACACTGTCCAGATACATCCGACCGTAGCGCCGCTCTCAAACTAAAACTATGAGACTCTTTTAGCATCCAGAGCGCTTTAGTTTTTGTTGAATCTTGTGTTTAGAATGACATTGGGCCAGTTTTATGCTGGCTTGTCAAAATATTGTCTGATCATTTAAAATGGTGTGAAATTTGAGGGTCAAGATGGATAGTTGAATAGATGGAGAGATATATGGATGGATAAAAGGATAGTTGAATAGATAGATAGTTGGATTGTGTGTGTCTGAGCGTGTTTGTGGCGTGTCGTACCTCACTCTGAAGATCACTCATCTCTCTAGCAAACTCCGTGTCTGGCGTGTCGGGCATCAGCGAGTACAGATTGACACACAGATCCCTGCGTCCATCCTCACGGTACAGCAGCTGAACACACACACACACACACACACACACACACGCACAGACAGACACACACACACACAGACACATACACACACTGCAAAAAACTGACATTCTGTCTTGTTTTCCAATGCAAATGTCTATAAATGTACTGAGTAATTGATCAAAATGTAGTTTGTTTACAATTAAAACAAGAACAAATATCTGCCAATGGGTGCAAATTAAAAATCAAGTTAATTCATTCCCCATTGACAGATATTTGTTCTTGTTTTAAGTCAAGTCAAGTCACCTTTATTTATATAGCGCTTTTAACAATACAGATTGTGACAAAGCAACTGAACAGCATTAATTTAAGCATGAAGTCACTTAATTTTGATACATCTCTCAGAAAACAAGACTTCAAATCATTTTGCATCTCCAGTAAATGCACCTTGATTTAAGAATCTTTAGAAATTTGTACTGGAAAACAAGACAGAAACACTGAGGAAGAGACTCATTTGGCAACACTTCATGCCGGGACATTTATTTTAGCTTGTCTATTTTCTATCTGTTTTAATGTAAGACCGGCAGAAACCCTGCTGATGACCTTTATTTATGAATGATGTGTGGCTCTGACGATCTCGTCTCACCTCACTGTTCAGCTGTGAGGCGTGTTTAGCGTGTAGAATCTCCAATGTTTCAGGAACACACGAGCACACATCGTTCACCAGCTTCTTCCTGCCGTTGGTATTCTTCCTCTATTGAAGCAAAACACACACACACACACACACACGAGGACACACACACACACACACACGAGGACACGATCGGATCAGGTTTTGGACCAGGACTCGGATCAGGATTCGGATCAGGACTCGGATCAGGATTCGGATCAGAAGTCGGATCAGGTTTTGGACCAGGACTCGGATCAGGATTCGGATCAGGTTTTGGATCAGGACTCGGATCAGGATTCAGATCAGAAGTCGGATCAGGTTTTGGACCAGGACTCGGATCAGGATTCGGATCAGGTTTTGGATCAGGACTCGGATCAGGATTCAGATCAGAAGTCGGATCAGGTTTTGGACCAGGACTCGGATCAGGATTCGGATCAGGTTTTGGATCAGGACTCGGATCAGGATTCAGATCAGAAGTCGGATCAGGTTTTGGACCAGGACTCGGATCAGGATTCGGATCAGGTTTTGGATCAGGACTCGGATCAGGATTCAGATCAGAAGTCGGATCAGGTTTTGGACCAGGACTCGGATCAGGATTCGGATCAGGTTTTGGATCAGGACTCGGATCAGGATTCAGATCAGAAGTCGGATCAGGTTTTGGACCAGGACTCGGATCAGGATTCGGATCAGGTTTTGGATCAGGACTCGGATCAGGATTCAGATCAGAAGTCGGATCAGGTTTTGGACCAGGACTCGGATCAGGATTCGGATCAGGTTTTGGATCAGGACTCGGATCAGGATTCAGATCAGAAGTCGGATCAGGTTTTGGACCAGGACTCGGATCAGGATTCGGATCAGGTTTTGGATCAGGACTCGGATCAGGATTCAGATCAGAAGTCGGATCAGGTTTTGGACCAGGACTCGGATCAGGATTCGGATCAGGTTTTGGATCAGGACTCGGATCAGGATTCAGATCAGAAGTCGGATCAGGTTTTGGACCAGGACTCGGATCAGGATTCGGATCAGGTTTTGGATCAGGACTCGGATCAGGATTCAGATCAGAAGTCGGATCAGGTTTTGGACCAGGACTCGGATCAGGTTTTGGATCAGGATTCAGATCAGAAGTCAGATCAGGATTCAGATCAGAACTCGGATCATGTTTTGGATCAGAAGTCGGATCAGGATTCAGAACAGAACTCGGATCAGGTTTTGGATCAGAACTTGGATGAAGACCTGGATCAGCTGTGACAGCTGCTGGAGAATCCTGTGAGAAACACACAAACACACACACACATGCGGTATGAGAGCGGCCAGTCGTGTGAAGGTCACCGTGACTCTGCTCGGCACGGTCAGTGCTCTCACCTCAGCGGTCAGCTCCACACCTCCGTCCATCTGTCCAGCAGCTTCCTCAGCGGCAGAGTCGGATCAGGTTTTGGATCAGAACTTGGATGAAGACCTGGATCAGCTGTGACAGCTGCTGGAGAATCCTGTGAGAAACACACAAACACACACACACACACATGCGGTATGAGAGCGGCCAGTCGTGTGAAGGTCACCGTGACTCTGCTCGGCACGGTCAGTGCTCTCACCTCAGCGGTCAGCTCCACACCTCCGTCCATCTGTCCAGCAGCTTCCTCAGCGGCAGACATGACTGAAACACAAACTCAGAGCTCAGAGCTGGACGCAGCCGACCAGAGCGACGCTTCAGCCCGACTGACCAGCTTCTGCTCCGGAACAGACCTTATCAGAGACGCTTCCCCGTTTAGAAACACTCGAGCGTTATCACTGCTGGAGGAGAAAGTGTCGCACACAGAAAGGAATGTGCAGAGATATGTGCACCTCACACTAACCATTACCATAACTAGTCCTAGTGCTCATAGTGATGACAGCAAACCAAGTACTGAAGTTCAGAGTGAACACTAACCCTCAGTTAACCAGCACTGATGCTGACTACTAAAACTAGTGCCAGAGATCCGACTGAAACTGAGACAATGAGCTCACATCCATCAGCTCGAGTTCATTCGTACGACTCGTGTCGTTCACCACAGACAGCAGTTACTACTTCTGATGCAGACCATTCACATCTGTGTGTGTGTGTGTGTGTGTGTGTGTGTGGATCAGGTATTACCCACATTATGGGTCCACACAAAGATGGCAATATACAAAATCCTTGACCTTGTGGGGACACGAGGGTCTCCATGAGGAACACAGCTTATAAATCCTACAGAATGAAGTGTTTTGAGAATCTAAAAATGCCTGTAGTTTTGTGTGAGGGGGAGGTTCAGGGTAAGCGGATAGAAAATACAGTTTGTACAGTAGAAAAACCATTATGTCTATGGCATGAACCCATAAAACATGGAAACCAGTGTGTGTGGGTCAGGTGGGATCTGGCCCTGAGTGTGTTTTGAGTGTATGTGTGTGTATGTCTCTGTGTGTGTGAGTGAGTGAGTGTGTGTGTGTGTGTCTCTGTGTGAGTGAGTGAGTGAGTGAGTGTGTGTGTGTGTGTCTTTGTGTGAGTGAGTGAGTGAGTGTGTGTGTGTCTCTGTGTGAGTGAGTGAGTGAGTGTGTGTGTGTGTGTCTTTGTGTGAGTGAGTGAGTGAGTGTGTGTGTGTCTCTGTGTGTGTGAGTGAGTGAGTGTGTGTGTGTGTGTCTCTGTGTGAGTGAGTGAGTAGTGAGTGAGTGAGTGAGTGAGTGTGTGTGTGTGTGTGTGTGAGTGGATCTGGCCCTGAGTGTGTTTTGAGTGTGTGTGTGTGTGTGTGTTGATCTGGCCCTGTGTGTTGGTTCTGCAGCCAAACGTCTGTGAGACACCATATGGGCCGCTCCATGATAACCGCAGCTCCAACATTCATCATCACAACCGGATCATAACAATCCTCAAAAACACAAAAGAGCCTGATTAATATTTCAGTCTCCAGTCATCTCAACACAAATATTGACTTTCATCTTAACTACAGGAAGACTACTGTTATAAACCTACTTCAGAAAACGAGTTTATTTGATTTGACTGATTTTAACTATTTCAGATAATAATAATAATAATAATAAAATTGAATAAAACACTATTTTTACTACTATTACTAAACACTAAAACACTATTTCACAATGAAAATATTTTTAATTCATGTTTTCATTTATAAAAAAATTATTTGAGTAAAATTCTAAAAAATTGAATTGAAATGATGAATTAGAACAAAAATGAAATGTTTTGTTATAAAATAATTGTTATATTTTCACTTGATTATATTTTAAATGATTTATTTGATTACCACAGTTGTTTGATGATACATTTGTAATAAATCATAACACAGAATTTAGGAAAGATAAATTAAAATGGAATTTGGTAATAAAGAAATAACCTTTCATTTGGTCATATAATTACATAAAAAATGTAATTAAATTGCTACATTGTTAAAGTTTCATAAATTAATTTGATTAGATATGTTTTTTGATGTTTAAAAATTAATGAAACCATTAAAATGAAAATGGAAAACAGAATTTGAATCTAATGGAGTCCACATACTTCCCAACATGAAACGATCTGAACATCAGCAGCTCAAATCAAACACACGAACACAAGTCAGAGAGGAAGTTGAGAGGAGGAAATGTGTTTAAAACCCTGTTTTCTCTTTTCATTCGCTCTAATTACAGAGCAGCATTTAAGGGCCTGCTAAAAACGGTTCGTGGGATTGAGACGCTCTCGTTTTCTAAGTTTGACAAACATGTGTGAGACAGCAGTGAGTCTGGATGAGGGAATGATGAGGCACAATCACAGGAAAAGCTAAACGCTTTAACCATCAGAATCCAAAAAGAGAAAAGCAAAACATAAACAGAGTGAAAACCACAGGACAGACCGAGCAGACCATCCGCCTCCGTCAGTGACATCACGGCGCGTCTGGCAGGTTTTATGAGCTTCCTCAAACACCTCAAAGTCAAAGATCTCACGATGAGCGAGAGCTCAGGAGACAGAGACAGATCCGATCAACAAGCATTCATCAGGGATGTTATTCTGGAGATATTATGAATCCTGAGAACATGATCAGAGCGAAAGACAGAAGATCATCTCACCTGCGTCTCAGTGAGTCGCTGAGGAATAAGGTCCGGTCATTTTCATTCATAGTGACAGTAGTGTGATGTTGTGTGTTTGTTATCAGAGACCAAAGCACCTCAGACTCTCTCTCTCTCTCACACACACAGGGTCTCATCAGAACAGACCCGTGACCCGCTTTTAGGTCACAAACTTCCAGAGAAGCTTTGAAACACAGACACAGTGTGATGTAATGTGTGGGACATCAGCGTCGATGCCACAGCTCAATCGACCCGAACACAGACAGTGATCTGAACAAACTCATCTGGACGTCTGGAAACAGAAACACTGCAGAATGTGAAATATGCATTACTCGTAGCGTTTCTTTGTTCATTTCTCAGATCGTCTCAGACTTTTGCATGTAGAACAATCTTTGTGATCAGATGCCAGTGTTCATCTAATCAATAACAGACGCGAGACACTGCTTTCCAGATATCTGCAGTGCTTCTGCGTCTGCACGAACATCCAGAAGAATCAAAGGAAGAAAACTGGGTCACCCTCGTAAAACATGGTTTGGATTTCTGCTTAACGCTTTCATGCAAAATGAGTTGTGTTCATTTGAAACTGGATGTTAGAAGCGTTGAGCTCCAGCTCCGTGTCACGCGTGACCAGTAACATACGTGTGACTCTCACCTGACTCTGTAGTTCACTCTGCTGCTTCAGACGCAGGTTCTCCGGCGTGTCCGTCACGATAGTGAACGATGTCTTGGGATAGTGACTGCAAGCAAAACATGAACATGACGGTCACTCAAACTTTCATTACTGTATGATGGACAATACAGTTCATTCATGGCTGCATGTTAACAGTGATTTACACAAAAGCTGCATAATATCTCTATCTGGATCAGGAGTAGATGTTGTCATGTTTGGGTGGATTTTTCCTTTAACACTCGACAAGAGCTAAAAATGAACCTGTTCTTCGGTGACGCGCCGATAACCTTTCTGCTCTAATCACAGTAATAATCATCTCGTCAAACTCTGAAAATAACACAATAGCTTTTCATCGTGACTTCACTGCTATTGTGTGATAAAAATAAAGCATGAATGCCCATTGAATCAGCAGAACGTTTCCCTGGCAACCGCTGACCCTGCCCCCGAACACATATAACCAATCAGCTCCTGATGCCACGGGTGCAGCTGTCAATCAATCAAACATCATCACCGACACATGAGGAGGAAACGACGGAGCAGCAGGACAGGAAGTGAGGGAGACACTGTATCCTGAGAGCGAAACATTTCCCATGAGCCTCCATCTCTAAAGAACCAGCAGGTTAAATGATTCCAGATCGTGTGCAGCGCTTCAGCTTTCACATCTACAGTCGGAGAGTCTCTGTGTGTTTCTGGACCATCACACAGCCGAAGCCCGAACGAGAGTTTGTTTGTTTTTCTGTGCCGGACGCTCTACAATTACAGCTCATAAACCAGAGCAGAGACTCTCTAGAGAGACGCTAATGACCGCTTGACGAGTTTGATGCTCCTGAAATCTCTTCTGCTCACCAAAGCTGTCTTTATTTGATTCAAAAATATGACCGTTTAAAAAATCTGTTTCAGATCAGCATATTATACTGATTTCTGAAGATCATGTGACACTGAAGACTGGAGGAATGATGCTGAAAATACAGCTGCACATCACAGAGATACATTACAGTTTAACAGAGATTCACATAGAAAACAGCTGTTTTAGATTATAATAATATTTCACATTTTACTGTATTTTTTAAAAACTAATAAAAATAGCCCTGGTGAGCAGAAGAGACTTCGGTCAGAAATAATAAAAAATCTTATTTATTCAGTAAAACACACATAAGAGGACATGCTCACAACACAAAAGCACAAAGTTAATTTGAAGATTCACAGCATTAAGTGGTAACTGAGCAGGACTGAACACGTGTGTGCGTGTGTATATCAGTGTGTGTGAGTGTGTGTGTGTATATGAGTGTGTGTGTGCATGTGTATATGAGTGTGTGTGTGTGTGTGTGAGTGTGTGTGAGTGTGTGCATGAGTGTGTGAGTATATGAGTGTGTGTGTGCATGTGTGTATATGAGTGTGTGTGTGTGCATGAGTGTGTGTGTATGTGAGTGTGTGCATGAGTGTGTGTGTATATGAGTGTGTGTGTGTGTGTGTGTGTATGTGTGTGCATGTGTGTGTGTGTGCATGAGTGTGTGTGTATATGAGTGTGTGTGT